CTCTGTCTCCTTTCCCCTTTCTTTTTGGTGAGTAGGAGCCCACTGTGAATACACACCACACATTCCTTCATCCACGGTGGCTACTTGGGCCGCTGTTTCCTTATCTTGGCTCCTGAGGATAGTGCTGCCTTCAACATAGGGGTCGTCGATGGCGAGTTCATGCTTTCATGTGCTCTGGGTGAATACTCAGAAGTAGGATTGGTGGATCATATGATAGATCTATTTTTAATTTGGTAGCTTCCATACTGTTTTGCATAGTGGCCACACCGACTCACAACAGTGCATGAAGTTTCCCCTTTCCACATCCTTGTCAACAGCTGTTTCTTCTCTTTTTGGGACGGCCCTAAGATTACCTCAGCGTTTTGATTTGCACTTCCCTGGGGATAAGCAATCTCTTTTCATGTGTCTGAAAAGCAATGGGCCATCCGCCTGTCTCCCCTGGTGAAAGGTCTATTTATTTCATTTATTCTATTACCCCTCCCATGTTTGGTGGTTGTTTGTTGTGTGAGTGGTTTACTTTGTCATATTCATTTTCATGTGTTTGACAGTTTTGAGAGATATGAGTCAGGCATTTTGTAGTGGATCTCATGTGAGAGTTGTTAGGTGTTTCTCTCCTGGGGTTGTTTGGGGAGGATAGTGCCGCTGCCATCACATCACATCAAAGCTACCTACACCCACTGACTGTCACTGCCGAGCTTAACTTTGATCACTGGTATTTGCCTGTATGTTTTCCATTGTGCTCCATATTCTCCATGGTACAGTCCTCTCTCTCTCTCTCTCTTTTTAGAAAGTTTAGTTATTTATTTTAAAATAAAGATTCAGTTACTTACACATACAGAACTGGGGTACAGGCCAGAGTTGCAGGGGCAGTGAGAGGCTTCACCAGAGACAGAGTAGAGGGCAGAACAGGCAGAGTGACTGCAATACACTGCTGAGGGAAGCAGCGAGCAGGTCAGGAGAGGTCTGCCATGTCATGTGGGTCAGCTCCCTGGTGGGGTATTGAACGCGTGTTGCAGGGGCTTCAGAGAGCTTCATTGTGCTGTGCTTTAACCTGTTGTGCCACCAGGGAGGGCCCTCACAGTTTTATTTTCAATGCAGAGATAGACTTACAGTTCCCAGAAGAGAAGGGGGTTGGGTGGTGTTGAAATGGATAGAAGGATTCTGTCGGGCACCAGCTTGAAGCTTGCCTGGGTTCATGATGTTAGCAGCTGAGTTCACAGTCAGGAAGCCTGGAACAGGGCTAGCAACAAGTCTACACACAACACACACGACAGCAACACGAGCAGCGTCTGTGGCCTGGGGCAGGGCTGTTCTGCCCTCTACTCAGGTGGCAGCCCCTTGGGCAGTCTCAGGATCCCTGGCTTGCATAGCAACAATAATAGCAACAGTAGCACTGGCAGTGTCCCTGGGCTGGGTCACAGTGGTGATGGTGTACACCCCAGGTCCCCACTCCCCTCCCCATCAGGAACCTGTCAGCTTTGATATGATTTATAGACCAAGCCAGCACAGGGCTAAAATTATGCATAGGTTGCATAACTATGTTCCCGCAAAGTTATATGTTATTTACTGCTTTCCCCCATACAGACCACAGCTCAGGCTGCATGTTATCTGGACCGTCATGGTGAAAAACAGCCTGAGGAGCTCTGAGAAAACTTTTGTTTTTCCACTCACCCTGTAGTGTCAAGTAGGGTGGTGAGTGGATGATAACTAGTCTTTGGTGATCATTCTAATGTTGTACACAGAAAACTTCTGTTATAAACCAATCCTATCTTAATAAAAATTTCCTCTAAAACAACTATTTATAACTAATTTGGACTGTCCCTTAATAATGAATGAATAATGTTATAAACATTTAGTAAGACTGAATAAATCTACAACCACAAATCTTCCTAAAATATGATGGATCTATTGATTATACTTGGAAACAAT